AAACAGCACCGATTACTGCCCAAACAACACTAAAAATCACCAGAAACTAAGATCAACACCAACTAACACCCATTTTATAGAAATCCCCTCAAATCACTATAACCAAGAAGATCCCACTCACCTCAAAACCGCTAAGATCGCAGAAAACACTCATTTTTATAAACATTCACACAAAAAATCACAATCACCAACTCCATACAATATCTAATACACTCCTCTCACTACCACCAACACATACCAGCACAGATAGGGATACCTCCCATGACATCACACTCCATCCTGCGTTTACTTGGCGATCAGCGATATCACACCCCACTTTTACTTCATTTAACTTAACGAGAGGAAGTTACTTGTTTCAACCTGTTATATCTCCAATATCTAAGATCACCACAATCAAGACGTTTACCAAATTCTATAACCCCTCCACTAAGATCACACATTTTTGTACACATTCTCTTAAAACAACATCATAACGAAGATCACTAAAACTATCTATACTTTTACTAAGATCACATAACATTTTATCTTCTCTAACTCACCCACCAATTTACATTCTCATTCACACACACATTTCATTAAAATAAATTACATCTCATCCATCAAACTCCTCCCTCATTCTCCAGACTTTACAACATCAGCACAAAAAAAAACTAACTCATACACTTATGACATGAGACAATACCATAACTAACACACTGACTAACTTTGAACCAACTCTGAACATCACCAAAACACCACTGATCATCTCCAAAAAATACTCTGCACATCATTTGAACACCTTCAAAAAAAAAAAAACACCATCAAACACCTCCGAATACTCCCAAAACACTACTGATTACTACCAAATCACCACTGAATACTACCAAAACACCGTCAAAATCACCAGAATCTAAGTTTAGCATCACCAGCTAACATCATTTTATAGAAATTCCCTCAAATCACTATAAACAAGAACTCCCTCCCCATGGGCGCAAAAAAAAAAGAAAAACTTGAACACAAACCTAATACGCAAACACTTAGTACATGATCACCATCAACTGAAAACATATACTACATATAATACACAGACACCCACAACTTATACATTTCAAACACAAATTTAAGACATGAGACATACACACCAAAATCTAAGACATTCACCTCCAACTAAGACATACACATCTTAACTAAGACATACACCAAAACCTATACTTGACATATTTGCGGTATGAATATTCATACCACATTTATCATTTCTCAACTATGTTGCATATCACATTCCTCATCCACATCATCCCTGAAACATCCTTCCTTATTCATCTGTATATTGCCTAGAGATGTTTTAACCCCAACATCCCATCATGACATTAGGAGCCAGAGTGTAGTAGGTGGTGTTGGAGTGGTGATGGTTGCTCTGGCTCCTACGTCGTGATGGGCCGTCGGGGTTAAAACATCTCTAGGTGATATACGGATGAATAAGGATGTTTCAGGGATGATGTGGATGAGGAATGTGATATGCAACATAGGTGAGAAATGATAAATGTGGTATGCGGGGGGGATCGTGGGTGGGGGTCGTGGGTGGGGTCATGGGTGGGGGTCGAGGGTGGGGTCGTGGGTGGGGTCGTGGGTGGGGGTCGTGGGTGGGGTCGTGGGTGGGGGTCATGGGTGGGGGTCGAATGTGGGGTCGTGGGTGGGGGATCAAGGTCATTAACATATAGGTGTGAAAAGGAGTCTGCTCAGGAAAAGGAGACCGCTCAGGAAAAGGAAGCCACTCAGCCGCAGAGACCGCTGAGCTGCCTTCATCACTACTTATATATATATATAATAATATAAATATATATATATATATATTATATATATATATATATATATATATATATATTATATATGTGTGTGTGTGTGTGTGTGTGGTGTGTGTGTGTGTGTGTACTCACCTCACCTAGTTGTACTCACCTAGCTGAGGTTGCAGGGGGTCGAGTCCGAGCTCCTGGCCCCGCCTCTTCACTGATCGCTACTAGGTCACTCTCCCTGAGCCGTGAGCTTTATCATACCTCTGCTTAAAGCTATGTATGGATCCTGCCTCCACTACATCGCTTCCCAAACTATTCCACTTACTGACTACTCTGTGGCTGAAGAAATACTTCCTAACATCCCTGTGATTCATCTGTGTCTTCAGCTTCCAACTGTGTCCTCTTGTTACTGTGTCCAATCTCTGGAACATCCTGTCTTTGTCCACCTTGTCAATTCCTCTCAGTATTTTGTATGTCGTTATCATGTCCCCCCTATCTCTCCTGTCCTCCAGTGTCGTCAGGTTGATTTCCCTTAACCTCTCCTCGTAGGACATACCTCTTAGCTCTGGGACTAGTCTTGTTGCAAACCTTTGCACTTTCTCTAGTTTCTTCACGTGCTTGGCTAGGTGTGGGTTCCAAACTGGTGCCGCATACTCCAATATGGGCCTAACATACACGGTGTACAGGGTCCTGAATGATTCCTTATTAAGATGTCGGAATGCTGTTCTGAGGTTTGCTAGGCGCCCATATGCTGCAGCAGTTATTTGGTTGATGTGCGCTTCAGGAGATGTGCCTGGTGTTATACTCACCCCAAGATCTTTTTCCTTGAGTGAGATTTGTAGTCTCTGACCCCTAGACTGTACTCCGTCTGCGGCCTTCTTTGCCCTTCCCCAATCTTCATGACTTTGCACTTGGTGGGATTGAACTCCAGGAGCCAATTGCTGGACCAGGTCTGCAGCCTGTCCAGATCCCTTTGTAGTTCTGCCTGGTCTTCGATCGAGTGTATTCTTCTCATCAACTTCACGTCATCTGCAAACAGGGACACCTCAGAGTCTATTCCTTCCGTCATGTCGTTCACAAATACCAGAAACAGCACTGGTCCTAGGACTGACCCCTGCGGGACCCCGCTGGTCACAGGTGCCCACTCTGACACCTCGCCACGTACCATGACTCGCTGCTGTCTTCCTGACAAGTATTCCTGATCCATTGTAGTGCCTTCCGTGTTATCCCCGCTTGGTCCTCCAGTTTTTGCACCAATCTCTTGTGTTTGGGAACTGTGTCAAACGCCTTCTTGCAGTCCAAGAAAATGCAATCCACCCACCCCTCTCTCTCTTGTCTTACTGCTGTCACCATGTCATAGAACTCCAGTAGGTTTGTGACACAGGATTTCCCGTCCCTGGAAACCATGTTGGCTGCTGTTGATGAGATCATTCCTTTCTAGGTGTTCCACCACTCTTCTCCTGATAATCTTCTCCATGATTTTGCATACTATACATGTCAGTGACACTGGTCTGTAGTTTAATGCTTCATGTCTGTCTCCTTTTTTAAAGATTGGGACTACATTTGCTGTCTTCCATGCCTCAGGCAATCTCCCTGTTTCGATAGATGTATTGAATATTGTTGTTAGGGGTACACATAGCGCCTCTGCTCCCTCTCTCAATACCCATGGGGAGATGTTATCTGGCCCCATTGCCTTTGAGGTATCTAGCTCACTCAGAAGCCTCTTCACTTCTTCCTCGGTTGTGTGCACTGTGTCCAGCACTTGGTGGTGTGCCCCACCTCTCCGTCTTTCTGGAGTCCCTTCTGTCTCCTCTGTGAACACTTCTTTGAATCTCTTGTTGAGTTCTTCACATACTTCACGGTCATTTCTTGTTGTCTCTCCTCCTTCCTTCCTTAGCCTGATTACCTGGTCCTTGACTATTGTTTTCCTCCTGATGTGGCTGTACAACAGTTTCGGGTCAGATTTGGCTTTCGCTGCTATGTCATTTTCATATTGTCTTTGGGCCTCCCTTCTTATCTGTGCATATTCGTTTCTGGCTCTACGACTGTTCTCCTTATTCTCTGTGTGTGTGTGTGTGTGTGTGTGTGTGTGTGTGTGTGTGTGTGTGTGTGTGTGTGTGTGTGTGTGTGTGTGTGTGTGTGTGTGCCCACCTAATTGTACTCACCTAATTTTAGGAATTAAAGCGTCCTTGACTGGTAGTGAATAGGTTACATATGACCATATATATATATATATATATATATATATATATATATATATATATATATATATATATATATATATATTATATATATATAATATATATTATATATATATATATATATATATATATATTTATATATATATATATATATATATATATATATATATATATATATATTTTATATATATATATATATATATATATATATATATATATATTTGTTGTGTGTATTGTTAGTATATTTGTGTGTGTGTGTGTGTGTCGTGCCGAATATGTAAAACTGGTCAATTAGCAAGAACTCATTTAAAATTAAGTCCCTTTCTTAGAAATTTTTTTCTTATATTAACGTTTAAAGTTATATATTTTTTTCAAAATAATTTAAAGTAATGTACTAAAAAAATTTTTTATTTTGTGCACAAAAGATCAGAAAACTTGTCCTAACGTATTGTTTTTAACAAGAGCAATTCTGTTTCGGCAACCCAACTAAATATATTTTATAAAAAGTTTAATAATATATTTAGTCTAAATGAAACACAAGATCAAAAAATAAGTTTTTTGTTTAGGTTTCATAAGATTATTTTTTTCAAATTTTCATGCACAAATTTTTAATTTGCCCTATAAGGAATGAAAACTTCCTGCTATTTAACCAAGAGCAATTTTTGCCTAATCGAAACTAAATATATTTTAAATATTTAAATATTTATAAAATAAACAATAACATATTTTTTTAGTAATATTATATATAAATATATATGCAATATGCTATTTAGAATAATTCATATAATATATATATATAATATATAATTTCTATGCCACAGACAACAAGAAGTTAGGCTGGAAGCAACCATTACTCTTGTCCTCAACTATTACACCACACGGTTTCCTTTAAGATGAACTGAAGAAAACAGGGTAGGATAAGCGAATTACCTGGAGTTTACCTGGAGAGAGTTCCGGGGGTCAACGCCCCCGCGGCCCGGTCTGTGACCAGGCCTCCTAGGTGAAAGCTCATGACTTATTTCTCTTACAGGTAACCTGGCCCTGAGTGACCTGGCTATTGGTCTTTACGTCGTCATCGCCTTCCTTCTCCACATCACACATAAGTCAGACCTTTGGCAAAAGAATACCTGCATGCTTCAGATTGGTCAGTCAAACCACGTGTCATTTTACGGGTCAGTCATGACACGTGTCTTTCTCTTAGTGATCTGTCCTTACCACGTGTCCTTGCGAGTCGTATCGCCTCGTGTCCTTCCCTTAATAAGTGGTGTCAACACGTGTCCCTTCTTACTGGCCAGTGCCACCACTGGTCAGTACTGATGACCTCCTCACTTCTGGTCACAATAATGACCGCCGCTCTTCGGTCAAGATATTCACCTCCCCCTCTATCACTGCATATTGTTTTCATATCAGGGGAATGAACTGATGTTGGTTAAGAGCTCTTGATCAGAAGAATACAAGCTACCCTTCCCTTGGATCAACCATGCTTACCTCCTTTTCCAGAGCTGTTGACCTTATGGGTTTAGCGCTTCCCTAGGATAATAATAATGATAATAATAATTAATAGTAAACTCGTCCTCCTAAAGCAACTCTAAATTTCTCACTTACAATTTTAAAAATTCTCGATATACACTCTTTAAGGTCATGTTGATGGTAGACTATAAGCAGTAGCTGGCAGACTTTAAGCCTAGTTAACCAGCAAACTGCAGGGAAGTGCTATACCCGTAGGGGTTATATAGCACCTGGTCAGGTTTAATCCGAGGAAGAGTAAGGTTGTTTCAACTGCTTTACTCTGAAGTCCTGTACTAGGTCCACTCTTCAAGTGATCTGAAAACGTATAACCATGAAGAGTCCAGCAGCCTCCCTTTCCTCTCCCTCCTCCCACCCATTACCCCTTCCTTCCCAGACCATCACTCTCCCTCCCACCCTTTCTGCCTTCCTCCCACATCATGACTCTCCCTCCCACCCTTTCTACCTTCCTCCCATAATGATTCTCCCACCCTCTATATCTATATCCCCAGACCATAACTCTCCCCCCACCCTCTCTACGTTCCTCCCCAGACCATGACTCAGTCATGACTGAGCTTGTCAACTTTATATTACAGTTGGTGTGTGGGGAGAGGGGGTGAAGGGCGGACTGGCATCTAGACGCACGTGAGAGTAGGAAATCTTCCTCCCTCTTTCAACTTGGCTATTTTGGCCACGACTGTGTACTGACGCGCGAGTTACAAGCCGGTCTACACTCAGTGACTTTTGATTTTATTTATATATATCGTTGTCAGCAAGCTTGTTCTGCACTTTGTAATGTGTTGACTTGCCAGCCACTGAACGTTGACAGAAACTCCTAATATGCATCATAATTTTAAACGATTATATATTTTTTAGCTTACAATAAGTATAAATTACATTTTACCCAGGGATATAATAATGTACATTCAGAAAATTTAAAATATTTTACAGACATTAGTATAAATATGTACAGTTGTTGTAAGATCACATGTTTTAGCCATACAATGATGATACATTATATAAGACAGTCATTCCCATTAGCCCCCTTGGGGCGGGGATGGCAGACCAGAGAGGCCTAGCTTGTGGCTAGGCCTGGGGACAGTTGGTCCCAAAGATGAAGAGGTACTTGTGCCTCCTCCCATGGGAGACTTAGGTCTCAGACACTCCCTAAAGAGGGAGCCAAGGCCGGGCCACCACTTGGAAAAGGCCCGGGCCGGGAGAATACTGGCTAATCTTTAATAATAATAAGTTTTTAAGGCCTGAGCTTGCTACCATCTGCAGCTCACAAGACTACCATCCCCACGAGCCCCTTTGGGGCGGGGCAGATGGCAGACTAGCTTCTCCCTACGAGCCCCGTGAGGGCGGGGAATGTGGCTAGGCCTAGGGAGAGTTGGTCCCAAAGATGAGGGGGTACTTGTACCTCCTCCCATGGGAGACTTACGTCTCGAGACACTCCCCAGATAGGGGGCCAAGGCCGGGTCACCACTACTTGGAAAAGACCCGGGCCGGGAGAGTACCGGCGAATAAAAAAATATGTAAGCTTAACTTAATAATGAGATATTTCAAAGCGAAGGATAGGAAGCTAATAATATTTCTTTCCATATCACCTGTGCTTTCACATCTAGAATATTGGTGTATGTTCAGAGAGCAGGAGAGTGCAGAGTGATCATTTACTACTCGCACAAAGTTAATAAAACATTTAAACTGCTGAGAACTCTTCAAAGTACCTGGCATGTGCTCTCTGGAGCAGAGAAAAGATATATAATAATACTGCATATACAGTACAAAGAAAATACAGGGGAACCATGTCCCAAGTCTACACACTACCATAACAAAGTACTGAAGATATGACAGAGGAATTGTAAAATAAACACCGTGTCAACATCCGTAGTCCAAGACTCTTCGACCTGCTACCTGGAGTTTACCTGGAGAGAGTTCCGGGGGTCAACGCCCCCGCGGCCCGGTCTGTGACCAGGCCTCCTGGTGGATCAGAGCCTGATCAACCAGGCTGTTGCTGCTGGCTGCACGCAAACCAACGTACGAGCCACAGCCCGGCTGGTCAGGAACCGACTTTAGGTGCTTGTCCAGTGCCAGCTTGAAGACTGCCAGGGGTCTGTTGGTAATCCCCCTTATGTGTGCTGGGAGGCAGTTGAACAGTCTCGGGCCCCTGACACTTATTGTATGGTCTCTTAACGTGCTAGTGACACCCCTGCTTTTCATTGGGGGGATGTTGCATCGTCTGCCAAGTCTTTTGCTTTCGTAGTGAGTGATTTTCGTGTGCAAGTTCGGTACTAGTCCCTCTAGGATTTTCCAGGTGTATATAATCTTGTATCTCTCCCGCCTGCGTTCCAGGGAGTACAGGTTCAGGAACCTCAAGCGCTCCCAGTAATTGAGGTGTTTTATCTCCGTTATGCGCGCTGTGAAGGTTCTCTGTACATTTTCTAGGTCAGCAATTTCACCTGCCTTGAAAGGTGCTGTTAGTGTGCAGCAATATTCCAGCCTAGATAGAACAAGTGACTTGAAGAGTGTCATCATGGGCTTGGCCTCCCTAGTTTTGAAGGTTCTCATTATCCATCCTGTCATTTTTCTAGCAGATATCAAAAACATTACCGGAACAAATGTAGAAGTCTTCAAGAGGTAGCTGGATTACTGCCTCCACCAAGTGCTAGATCAACTAGGCTGTGATGGTATGTGTGTCAGCGGGCCGCTAACAGCAGCAGCCTGGTTAAGCAGGCAATAAACAGGGAAGTCTAGCCTCAGGCTAGGCTGCTTCGGTAAAACACGCTTCGAAATCGGTCACAGGTAACTGAAGGTCAGGATGACTTATTTCCATTAGAATGAATGTAAAGGCAGGTATTTTATGCCCCTATACAGGTGTTGCGGTGACTGCCTGCCAGGAGACCATCTTCACCATCATGTTGATAGCAGTGGACAAATACTTGTATATCTGCCACGGACTTAAGTACTCCTCCATCGTCACTACCAAGAGAGTGTACATCGCTGTTATCATTTCCTGGATCTTCTCCATCCTTATTGGTGGGCTCACCTACAACTGTCTTCCTTATATTATCATTATTAATTTGAATTTAGTAGTAATAATAAAAGTAATAGAAGTAGTAATAGTGGTAGTGGTGTGGTCGTAGTAGTAGTAGTAACAGTAATACAGTAGTAGTCGTGCTGATGTTTTCTCAAATTTATAATGGATTGTGAATCTTGGGTCACTGAAATAAGTTGAGTACCCCACAGCTGTGTCAGTTAAGCTATCTTATCCTTTAGGAATAATTAGATATTCTTGACCCTCTTTCTATTCGTTCCTTAGCAGGTGCCTCAAATTCCAGTTGGTTTCAGTTCTCCTTGAAGTTGGTCTCAATTCTTTTTCCAGTAAATCTCAGGTCTTTTTTCATTTTGTCTAAATTCTACTTCCAGTTGGTCTTAATTCTCCTTAAAGTTGGTCGCAACTCTCCTTCAGCATGGTCTTAATTCTCCTTCAAATTGGCTGGAATTCCGCCTACAGTGGGCTCTAATTCTCCTTCCAGTTGGCTCTAATTCTTCTTCCAGTTGGCTCTAATTCTTCTACCAGTTGGCTTTAATGCTTCTTCCAGTTGGCTTTAATTCTTCTTCCAGTTGGCTCTAATTATTCTTCCAGTTCTCTAATTGTTCTTCCAGTTGGCTCTAATTATTCTTCCAGTTGGCTTTAATTCTCCTTCCAGTTAGCTTTAATTCTTCTTCCAGTTGGCTTTAATTCTCCTTCCAGTTGGCTCTAATTCTTCTTCCAGTTGGCTCTAGTTCTTCTTCCAGTTGACTTTAATGCTTCTTCCAGTTGGCTTTAATTCTTCTTCCAGTTGGCTCTAATTATTCTTCCAGTTCTCTAATTGTTCTTCCAGTTGGCTCTAATTCTTCTTCCAGTTGGCTTTAATTCTCCTTCCAGTTAGCTTTAATTCTTCTTCCAGTTGGCTTTAATTCTCCTTCCAGCTAGCTTTAATTCTTCTTCCAGCTGGATCTAATTCTCTTTCCAATTGGCTCTAATTTTGCTTCCAGATGGTCTCAATTCTCCTTCATTTTTCTTAAATCGTTTTCCAGCTGCACTTCTTCCCACTCAACGTCACACAATTCCAACCACAATGTTACTTGATCATGAAATTTACCTTCTTACATATCAAATAAATCGTGGATTCCTTTTAGAGTTGGTCTTGATTGCCATTCCAGCTGACTTAGATTGCCATTCCAGGATCACTCCCGGTGATGGGAATGCAGGTCCCTTGGGAGCAGGCATGTGACCGATGCATTTTCGCCCAAGTCATCTCCAGAAACTTCATCATCATCTTCTTCATCACCTCCGTGAGTTATTATCTTCATCTTATTCATTACCCGTGTTAGTCATTATCCTCATCGTCTATATCACCTCCTGAGCAAAGTACAGGTCACCACTGAGCAAAGTACAGGTCACCACTGAGCAAAGTACAGGTCACCACTGAGCAAAGTACAGGTCACCACTGGGCAAAGTACAGGTCACCACTGAGCAAAGTACAGGTCACCACTGAGCAAAGTACAGGTCACCATGAGCAAAGTACAGGTCACCACTGAGCAAAGTACAGGTCACCACTGAGCAAAGTACAGGTCACCACTGTGCAAAGTACAGGTCACCACTGAGCAAAGTACAGGTCACCACTGAGCAAAGTACAGGTCACCACTGAGCAAAGTACAGGTCACCACTGAGCAAAGTACAGGCCACCACTGAGCAAAGTACAGGTCACCACTGAGCAAAGTATAGGTCACCACTGTGCAAAGTACAGGTCACCACTGAGCAAAGTACAGGTCACCACTGGGCAAAGTACAGGTCACCACTGGGCAAAGTACAGGTCACCACTGGGCAAAGTACAGGTCACCACTGGGCAAAGTACAGGTCACCACTGAGCAAAGTACAAGTCACCACTGGCAAAGTACAGGTCCACACTGAGCAAAGTACAGGCACCACTGTGCAAAGTACAGGCCACCACTGAGCAAAGTACAGGTCACCACTGAGCAAAGTACAGGTCACCACTGAGCAAAGTACAGGTCACCACTGAGCAAAGTACAGGTCACCACTGAGCAAAGTACAGGCCACCACTGAGCAAAGTACAGGTCACCACTGAGCAAAGTACAGGCCACCACTGAGCAAAGGACAGGTCACCACTGAGCAAAGTACAGGTCACCACTGAGCAAAGGACAGGTCACCACTGAGCAAAGTACAGGTCACCACTGAGCAAAGTACAGGTCACCACTGAGCAAAGTACAGGTCACCACTGAGCAAAGTACAGGTCACCACTGAGCAAAGTACAGGTCACCACTGAGCAAAGTACAGGCCACCACTGAGCAAAGTACAGGTCACCAGTGAGCAAAGTACAGGTCACCACTATGCAAAGTACAGGTCACCACTGAGCAAAGTACAGGTCACCACTGAGCAAAGTACAGGTCACCACTGAGCAAAGTACAGGTCACCACTGAGCAAAGTACAGGTCACCACTGAGCAAAGTACAGGTCACCACTGAGCAAAGTACAGGTCACCAATGTGCAAAGTACAGTCACCACTGAGCAAAGTACAGGCCACCACTGAGCAAAGTACAGGTCACCACTGAGCAAAGTACAGGCCACCACTGAGCAAAGTACAGGTCACCACTGAGCAAAGTACAGGTCACCACTGAGCAAAGTACAGGTCACCATGGCAAAGTACAGTCACCACTGAGCAAAGTACAGGCCACCACTGAGCAAAGTACAGGTCACCACTGAGCAAAGTACAGGCACCACTGAGCAAAGTACAGGTCACCACTGAGCAAAGTACAGGTCACCAATGGCAAAGTACAGTCACCACTGAGCAAAGTACAGGCCACCACTGAGCAAAGTACAGGCCACCACTGAGCAAAGTACAGGTCACCACTGAGCAAAGTACAGGTCACCACTGAGCAAAGTACAGGTCACCACTGAGCAAAGTACAGGTCACCAATGTGCAAAGTACAGTCACCACTGAGCAAAGTACAGGCCACCACTGAGCAAAGTACAGGCCACCACTGAGCAAAGTACAGGTCACCACTGAGCAAAGTACAGGTCACCACTGAGCAAAGTACAGGTCACCACTGAGCAAAGTACAGGTCACCATGAGCAAAGTACACGTCACCACTGAGCAAAGTACACGTCACCACTGAGCAAAGTACACGTCACCACTGAGCAAAGTACACGTCACCACTGAAGCAAAGTACAGGCCACCACTAAGCAAAGTACAGGCACCACTGAGCAAAGTACAGGTCACCACTGAGCAAAGTACAGGCCACCACTGAGCAAAGTACAGGTCACCACTGAGCAAAGTACAGGCCACCACTGAGCAAAGTACAGGCCACCACTAAGCAAAGTACAGGCCACCACTGAGCAAAGTACAGGTCACCACTGAGCAAAGTACAGGCCACCACTGAGCAAAGTACAGGCACCACTGAGCAAAGTACAGGCACCACTAAGCAAAGTACAGGCACCACTGAGCAAAGTACAGGCCACCACTGAGCAAAGTACAGGTCACCACTGAGCAAAGTACAGGTCACCACTGAGCAAAGTACAGGTCACCACTGAGCAAAGTACAGGCCACCACTGAGCAAAGTACAGGTCACCACTGAGCAAAGTACAGGTCACCACTGAGCAAAGTACAGGCCACCACTGAGCAAAGTACAGGTCACCACTGAGCAAAGTACAGGCCACCACTAAGCAAAGTACAGGTCACCACTGAGCAAAGTACAGTTCACCACTGAGCAAAGTACAGGTCACCACTGAGCAAAGTACAGGCACCACTGAGCAAAGTACAGGTCACCATGAGCAAAGTACAGTCACCACTGAGCAAAGTACAGGCCACCACTGAGCAAAGTACAGGCCACCACTGAGCAAAGTACAGGTCACCACTGAGCAAAGTACAGGTCACCACTGAGCAAAGTACAGGTCACCACTGAGCAAAGTACAGGTCACCAATGTGCAAAGTACAGTCACCACTGAGCAAAGTACAGGTCACCACTGAGCAAAGTACAGGCCACCACTGAGCAAAGTACAGGTCACCACTGAGCAAAGTACAGGCACCACTAAGCAAAGTACAGGTCACCACTGAGCAAAGTACAGGTCACCAAGTGCAAGTAAGTCACTGAGCAAAGTACAGGTCACCACTGAGCAAAGTACAGGCCACCACTGAGCAAAGTACAGGTCACCACTGAGCAAAGTACAGGCCACCACTAAGCAAAGTACAGGCCACCACTGAGCAAAGTACAGGTCACCACTGAGCAAAGTACAGGCCACCACTGAGCAAAGTACAGGTCACCACTGAGCAAAGTACAGGCCACCACTGAGCAAAGTACAGGCCACCACTAAGCAAAGTACAGGTCACCACTGAGCAAAGTACAGGTCACCACTGAGCAAAGTACAGGCCACCACTGAGCAAAGTACAGGTCACCACTGAGCAAAGTACAGGCCACCACTAAGCAAAGTACAGGCCACCACTGAGCAAAGTACAGGTCACCACTGAGCAAAGTACAGGTCACCACTGAGCAAAGTACAGGTCACCACTGAGCAAAGTACAGGTCCACCACTGAGCAAAGTACAGGCCACCACTGAGCAAAGTACAGTTCACCACTGAGCAAAGTACAGGTCACCACTGAGCAAAGTACAGGCCACCACTGAGCAAAGTACAGGTCACCACTGAGCAAAGTACAGGCCACCACTAAGCAAAGTACAGGTCACCACTGAGCAAAGTACAGTTCACACTGCAAGTAGGTACCACTACAAGTAAGCACCACTGACAGTACAGGTCCCATTGAGCAAACTACAGCCACCATTGCAAGTACGTCACTGCAAGTACAGTCACTGTCCACATAAAATCTACCTGCTGAAAACCGTACCACCTATTCATACATGAACATCGCATTGCTCTTAACCGACTATGAATGCCGTCTATCCTAAGCAACGAAAACTTCCTTAGCATTTTTTTTAAATACTGTTTACTTATATGCTTCACATACTATACCCTTCCTAGAAACTCTTTCATATGCGATCCTGCTCTCCGTCTGGAGTTCATTACCTTTGTAAATTGTGAGTTCATTACCTTTGTAAATTGTGAGTTCATTACCTTTGTAAATTGTGAGTTCATTACCTCTGTAACTTGCTCAGCTATCAAAACTTTGGAGTCCAGTTCCTGGACCAATTATGTACCTCTGTAATCTTTTGACTACCGCCCACAGGATGGGTATGGGGTGCATAATAAACATATTAAACTATTAAACTAACTCCCCGTCTTACCCTTAACTCTCTCAATAATAATCTACCATTCACTTTACACGCTTATTCCTCTAAAAATCTCAACTAGGTAACAAGCAATCGATGCAGTGAATTCTATACTTTCAGGTGTGACAACTACTGCTCTCACTGATAGCATCCTGCTTGGAGTCCCTCTGGGGACCAATGCCACTGACACAGTTCTCAAGGAGAAATTGGATGATTTGAGGATAGAACATGTAGACGCTCATGATGCCCTATGCCTTCTCACCAAGTGCTTGAGCCTGCCCAGCCTAAGATGTGTACCCTCATATGACAATCCATATGACAGTCTTCTGATGTCAATATTACCTAGTGTGTTCAGTTTTATGCTATAAGATGGGCAATGGGATCAAACTACACTGCCAGTCAGACTAGGAGGCATAGATGTCCACATGGCATCACAAATAGCTCTTTCTCTATTCTTGTCATTGTGTGTGGCGTCCAGCGAACTTATTGTAGCGATTTTTCCCAAACACCACAGGGAGAAATGTTGGGGGTTCACCATTGTTCATTAATGGAGCTACAAGTTCAGTGCTTCACATTTAAAAAATAATTTTCCTCCTACAGGTTGCTGGCCCGTACGCGGTGGTGGTGAGCCTGTACTCTGTGTTGCTGATGCTGGCCCTCAAAATGCACAAGGCTCGCTATGGAGGCTCACTCACCGGCAACGACAACGCCAGATCATCCAATTTCAGGCTCTCCTTTATGTCCAAGAAGTCCAAATCATCGAAGTCAAATCGCTCGACGAGTGCCACCACCGACCCGGACGTCAAGGCCAATAGGAGAAGGACGAAGAGGAAAGAGGTGGAGTACACAGCTACACTGCCTGGAATCAGTGAGAGGGATGCATCAGCCAAGCTCATTCGTTACCAGTCCCAGGAAACTCATAACCCTGAGCAGAGACGAGTATCTCATGACGGTGAAATCACAGAGAAGCTCATACAGGGTCAGGTCCTTCCTGGAGGAGACCAACTGGTCCAGGACGAAGTGGCAACAGATAGTCGCCAGAGATCCCTCAGAGAAGCCATATCTCAAAGCGACGATGGTGCTGTTCCTGAAGGCACTAAATTGTCTTGTGAAAAGCTTGCCGAAACAGTTGATGAGAACTTTAAAGAAAATGAGAATAAAGGTATTGCTATTAACATCGATAACCAAGATAACTTTGTTGACAACGGCATAAGAGACAATGCCAAAGACACAAATATATCAGTAAGTAATTATATTGGAGAGAGTTTCGACTGCACTGCCTCTGGCAGTGACAGAAAAAGAAGTGATGCCGCATCGGAGTCACCAAAGATAAAAAATACCAAAGGTCCTAAATTCACCAGGAAAGCTAAAACCGGACAGAAGTGCCAGTACGATACACACGAGGAACCTCCATCACCCTTAACAGAAGAGGAACGTCCATCCCCTTTAACAGAAGAGGTACCTCCATCACACTTAACAGACGAGGAGTTTCCATCACCTTCAACAGACGAGGAAGCCGGTGAGAAGACAAACTCTCCATCATCATCTTCACGAACGTCATGGCTGTTGACGAAGTATTTCAACCGTGTTGTATCTGACACCCGGGACAAGGTACTCTTCTTGAAGAAGTGCCGGGCGCTTAAGACGGTCTTCCTGATCATTGGATCGTTCACGGCGACGTATGTGCCGTTCGTGGTGGGCACCTTGGTGTACAGCCTGAGCAAAGAGAAGCATGAGTGTCTACTGCATATGCTCAACACTTTTCTCTATTGTGCCGTCGTCGCCAACTCCCTGGCTAACCCGCTCATGTACGCCTATGGCTACCGAGAATTTCGCCTGAAGTCCAAGAGATTCAAAGGAATATTTGCCAAGGAAAAACCGATCAAGATTAAATGAGATTCCGAGACCTTCAAGTGGCGAGGGAGCATGTGCCTTGATGCTAGTAAACAACAGTGCTTCATCCTAGGAACCTGAGTTACCCTCGCTTTCCTTGAATCACATCTGATTGTCTCCCATTCCTCAGGTGCTTTGTACCTATTGGTTAAGCGCGTTCTCATTAATGTAATAATAATAATGACATTTGCAGCAGGTTGTCTGGAGGTGTGGCTTTTGCAGTAGATATATAAAAGGCTGGTTATCTCTCCGTTTCTCTGCCAGCTAGGGATCTTGGTCAAATTCTGGAGAACAAAATGCTGTCACAGGATAACTCAGTCTAGCTATCATAAGTAATATGCTTGAGATACCTGTGAGGGTATCATCGTCTTAGGACATTACTAGGTAGTGTCTTAACTCCAGTAAGCCAGAGGATGATTAAAAAAGTTATGGATCATTTCACAAAGACCCGTCCTAACAGAACTACACCACCTCGCGCATTCTCAGTGACACGTAGCAGTACTAACAAATCAGTACACTAGGAGTTAAAACTGGCGTACTAGGCCTGAAACAAAGTATACTTAAAAACATATATTGTATTCATTGTTTTCCTTTTTTTGAAACAAAATGTGACCAACTAATGCTACTCCTTAAACAAGAATGACTATTTATGTAAATAACCCCAGAATGGAACTGCAGCTCTAACTGGTGGAGATTTTACTTTTGTGAGACGCAGTTTCAGATCAATGAGCTTTTTAATTCGGAAATAGGAAAAGCCGTGAAGAAAACATAGGATGCAAAAGAAGCTTTTACCGGACAACGGTTCTCTTGTGTAGCGCTTCAAGTCATGACTATGAAGCTGTACACAGAGATAACATCTGCAACATGTGTTTTCTTCGCTACTGTTGGCAGAACGCTATTTGAATCCAAGGAAAAGCCGTGCTCAAAGACCTAAAACACCTAAGTGGAGGCAATAGTGCACAAAGCCCTAAAACCACAATGACTGTTAGAGTTCTTGATGCACAAAAATAAATAACCTGTTAGTTGTCCGGCACTTACCACTTTGTGTTTTAATATATCAACAAATAAAAACCTCTCCTAACAAGAACATAGAGAGGTAGCTATTATGAATCCCTTGTACCTGTCTAGCGGAGCAGTCTGATATTAACGCTGGCTGAGATTTGTTGACAAGCTCCCCAGTAGTTGTAGTGTTATCGCTAGTAATAATGGTAGAATTACCGACAAAATGTTATGTAAAAGGACAGAGATGCAACAATAAAATGTCACATTAGTTGCATCTGTGTCCTTTTACCTAACATGTTATTACTAGTTTAATACTAGGAATCGAGACCAAGATTTGTCATCTCCACCTCGGGGTACTCCACAGACCTCTGCAAGTCCCCTCAATTACATGCTTCTTAGAAGCCATCAAACCAGTCCATGTACGGCACTCAAGTGCTGTATTACCCGGTGACGTTTGCGTTTTTTGTAAATATAAAAATATTTATATGTACGAGGCTCAGTTGTGGCTTTCTTGCTTCACAGCAGGACCAGAGTCCAGTACTAGGGAGGGTGGAACCTTCTACCTGTTGTCTTGTCCACCTAACAATAAAAAGTTACCCGAGTGTTAGCGGACTCCTTTGGGTAGCAACCTTAGATAAGGCTAAAGTAAGATAACATCTCTTACGCTGTAAATCCAATAGTGTAAAAGAAATCTTTGATATTACCATTTGTGGGTCGTTGTTGCCTTCCAGGAGGGTGAGGGGGTGCCTTGATGCAGGTGAAGGCCTCTTGATCCATGGAGTTGGAGGTGCCCTTCCTCTGGCTGTGTGACACAGGTTTAGTACTTGTTTTCAAATAACGGAGTTACTCAACTGTTCCTTGGATCAAACTGAATTCAAATTTCCAAGCACTGTATGAACCTTATGGGTTTAGTGTTTTTCCGTGATTATAATAATAATAATAATTAACAATGGCGTTTCACTGTAAACCTCTTAGAGCGTAAGATAAGAATTAGTGTTGTTTGTGAGGAAGGTAGAGTGTGTGAGCCAAGCTTCACCAAAGCTTCCTGTGGTGGTCCGTCAAGCAGGTGGTGCTACTGGCGGTACCTAGATGGCGTCATGTTCAAACAATAATATAATAATAATAATTTTATCTAGGCTTGTACAAGGTATACTGGCATAGCTGACATCACTGATATACTACTATATAGAAAGCCCCTTGTTATGCAGGGCATTTAGGGCAAATTAGGTCAATTTTGTTCCAGGATGCGACCCACACCAGTCGACTAACACCCAGGTACCCACTTTACTGATGGGTGAACAGGGACGGCAGGTGCCCTATGAAAACACGTCCTACAGCACTGATGTTCAAACATAACTCTCTGAAATACGAGAGAGGTGTATGTCCACTTTGAGGCGTGTCACTAAATTGAATGTTGTATATGACGCATTTTGTAACTAAGAATGTTACGAAAACAGAATCTTTAAAAAAATATTTTAAAACAAAACTGAAAACAAAGCCGTCACAGCTGCAAAATACGTTTTAAAAGAAAAAGAAAACACTGGAATTCCGTCAGGCGTGAGTGGCGAGAAATGTTATGGATGTGAGCTATATAAGGAAGAAGATGCAGCAACTCTGCTAGAATTACAGCAGCTGCCACAACAAACGCTACTCCTCCACACAATTTATAATTCCACTTTAAAAAGTCTGCCTTTTTACATATTAAATATGGGATTTCTCAAGGTAAGATTGCAATTCAAGTTTTTCCTAAATATTTTTGATATTGTGTGTGTGTGTGTATATACCTGTATGTATGTATACATACATACAATTTTTAACACATCGGCTGTTTCCCACCGAGGCTGGGTGACCCGAAAAAGAAACACTTCATTTTTTTCTTTTTACAGTTAGTAATTTATACAGGAGAGGAGATTACTAGCCCCATGCTCCAGGCATTAAATTTAGTCGCCCCTTACGACACTCATGGCTTACGGAGGAAGAATTCTTCTCCACTTCCCCATGGAGACAAACACACACACACACACACACACACACACACACACACACACACACACATATATATATATATATATATATATATATATATATTATATATATATATATATATATATATATAGATAGATAGATAGATAGAAATAATGAAATCACGAAACAAGCGATTCTGAATCATTAACAGAACTGTGGCTAGCCAAGATTCGATCCTGCATCATCATGCCCAGCTCTGTGAGAACAGGCCAATGTATGCATTACTCTATCCACTGAACCAACAATTCTCAAACACCAGGCGCCCAGTGGAACTGGGCATGTTTTCCCTGGTGCGATAACATACCAAACGATTTCGTGATTTCTCACACTATCAAAGAATAGTAAAAATAGGATAACAAGACTTGTAAGGCTGAGATTTCAGCCAGTCTGACCGATGTATACCTGGGTGCAATCTTTGCATGGTTTCTAGAAAACTCCTGGTGTGTTTTGTGTAACTGGATGCTTATGCTTATTGGAGTCCACCAGATACCATGCAAAGATTGCAGCCAAGTATACATCGGTCAGACAGGCTGAATGCTATCAACGAGGATCACCCAACACAAGAGGGTGATACGCTATGGACAAGAGAATTCGGCCGTTTTTCACCATGTCAACAACAACAGTCACAATATTCACTGGGAAGTTGATGCCATCAAACACAAATTACATAGCTACCACGCTTAATTTCATTAAAATTCGCCTTTAAGAAGCACATACCATCAACTAACTTAATACAGAGCACCAGCACGAGATAGCACTGGGGAACTACTTACCCAAATTTTAAGCTTGATTCCAGTCACCTGCTTCAAGACCTGACACACCACACCCACTTGCTCCCTGACCTGTCTTCTCCCACGTGTTGACCTGACGCTCCATACTCACCCACACGGGTGAAAAGAGTAACCTTACAATATATACAATGGGCCTGAGCTCACAAGTCAGAAGATCCATACTCCTTGAAAAAAAAAGTATTACTTTCGTTCTTTACGAATGTGAAAACTCAAATTTCCTGAATAAGGAACTTATAGTCTCGCGATATGTCGTGTAACCCGCGACTGAGTCCCAAAGTGTCGTTTCTTCATGAAAAATTACACTGCTTACATGACCTTTTGCATTATTGCTTCGATAAGCATTATATGGTTTTTATACTGTACTTACTTTCTAAAAAAAATCATTGGTACTAATGTAATTATCCTAGTTACACACACATATATATATAATATACAATAAGATCACAATAATCAGGTAATATCACAATATGCAAAATATGCACAGTGAAAACATAGTGAAGTTCCAAGGGCTTTCGTGATTTTCCACATCATTAAGGAATAATGTGAGAAATCGCGAAGGCGCTCGGAATTTCACTGTGGCTATTTTGCACATATATAATATAAATAACTATGTTAATCAAGATTGTATTGCACCATTCTTCCGTGCAGCTTGTATGTTTGTGGGCAGCCTTCACAACCATCTTTCTTCCCGTCGAAACCACCAGAGCTGATGTGGAATCCAGCAGCACAAGTTTACCACAGAACAATCATCCACCAGATAATTTATCCAACTCAAAAGGCCCCTACACCCTAGCAGAGCTCGTCTTAAATTATACAGAGTCCTATAACACAGCGAATCTTACTTCTAGTTCAGTACAGTCCGTTCGTCCACCAGATCCATCGTTGGATTCAACTAAGTCCTACAATCTTGCAGAATTCGTTTTAAGCCCATCAGAGATCTATTTAAGAAAGGATCTTAACTCAAGTTCAACCGATCCATATAGTTCATCAGAGACTTATCTGAATCCTAAGAATTCACATAGAACACAAAGTAAAATCCAAATCTTTGAAGAGGTTCAAGACCCACCAGATTCTATATTGGGGCCTCGTGGGTACCATTACTATACGATTACTGGTCCTATAGATTTCTATAACCTAAAAAGTATAAGCTCAAGCCAAAAGCAGCCTTACGGGACACCCATTGGAACTCCCAGTCCTGCAGGACCCCATGAGAAACCAACTAGTGATATTTTGAATTCAAGAAAAATCTTCGGGCAATCAACAGCAACATTACGTACCACGTTTAGTCCTATTCACCCCGACAGTCAAATTGACCCTCCAACAAGTTTTATGGAATCCTATAACTCAGCAGGATTTACATCAACAACCACCTCGAGTGCTGAAGGATCCTCTCTCCTAGCTCCTGAAGACTCCCATGACTATGAAGCATACTATGAGCCGATAGATACAAAAGAATACTACAAATCATCAAGTCCAGGAGGATCCTACGAACCACCAAGTGTAATAGGATCTTATCAACCACCAAGTCCGAGGGAATCTTATGAATCACTAAATCCACGAGAATCCTACGAAATACCAAATAAAAATGAATCCTATAACACATCAATTTTATCAAAACTGTACCTCGTATCACTTCCCAAAAAGTCCTACAGTTCTTCAGCAGCACCAACTATTGCAGAAGCAGCTCATATAGTGGACTCTTCAGGAATCTACGTCACACTAACCCCAAAAGACTCCAATGATGTTGCAAATTCTACAGATTCATATAACGTATCAAAGTCAACAGAATTACAAGATTCAAGTACTTCAATAGAATCCGTTCAGTCGCAAAGTTCAAAAGAGCTCAGTAACTCAACACGTTTGAATGGTTCTTCCATTTCCAGTTCCAAAACGCAAAACAACTTACCAAGTTCCAGTAAATCCTTGGTCACTATAAAGTCTTCTAGCTTATCTAGTCCTTCTGAATTCTATAGACTACCAATTCCAGTCTCAGTCAACTTAAACTCTCATAACCTACCCAGCCCTTTTGAATCTTATGAACTGCCAAGTACAACAAAGTCCAATAGTTCAGTAAGCTCTGCAAGATTTTATGAAATGCTCAACCCAAGAAAAATACATAACTTATCAAATTCCACGAGATCCGACGACCTGGTGAAAAATGAACAACTGGACAAAGTCCTTAGTCTTTTAGATTCTCAAAGCTTAGTGAGTCCTATCGCAAAACCAGGATGGCCGTATGACCACAAGAACCCTATTGAACCTCATGACGCTACAAAACCTTCAATATTTTATAGCCTAACAACATCCAATTCAAATACCAATGAACCCTCTAATCCTGCAGGATTCATTTTATCCTCAGTTGTACATTCCAAAATGCCCAGTGATTTAACAGGAACTATACTGCGTCCTAGCGAAGTCTATGGAGGTGTAGGAGCATTCACAGAAAAAATAAATAGCAATTCATTAACCACCTTACGACCCAAGGAGTCATACAGTCAAGAAGAATTAACCCTAAATTTCAATGATTCCAATCCAGTAAGGGCCAATGTAAATTCTCATGAATTTTATGACTCAGCAGGAATGCTTTTACGTTCCCAGGAGTTCTATAACGAGAGTCCCAGAAGCCCTGATAACTCGGAGGACACTTCTTATTCCAAGGAATCCCACGGCCCACCAGGGCCAAACTCAATCCCAGAAGAATCCTATAGCCCATCAGGACGAACCTCAAGCCCTGAAGAATTATTAAAGCCATCAGGGCCCACCTCAAGCCCCAAAGAATCACATAACCCACAAGGACCTATTAAAGACCTAGAATCCAATAACCCAAAACGGTCCGCCTTAACTCCAGAAGAATTTTATAATCTACCAGGACCCACTTCAGTCCCAGAAGACTTTTATAGCTCACCAGGAATCACTTCAACGTCAGAAGACTCCTATAACCTACCAGGCATCACCTCACCTATTTTCTCAACCACAGAATTTTATAAACCACCAGAATCCACCTCAACCACAATACCCACCAGAAGTCCTAGAGAAGCTAATAGCTCAGCTCAATTTTATGGTTCAACGGGGAATGTAGGTTCATCCGTCGTCAGAGCATCACAGAAACAGAGTTCAACAGAGAACAAGGTAAG